AGCGAGGCGACTGGGGCCACGAGCGGAGGTGGGGCCGACATGGGTGCTGAGCATCAGCCCGCCGCTGCCTGGGCCCGAAGGAGCGGAGCCGGGCAGGGGGTGACCCTTCATTCAGAAGCTTGGGGATTCCACACACCTCCGCACACATACTGGGGACCGGGCGGCAGGGGAAGAGGGCCACCAAGTCTCTGTTCTCCCTGATCCCTTCCCGGCCCCAGAGAACCCCAATCCCCTTTTAGGGGGTGCTCCCAACTTCTTCCCTCCGCCAGGAAGCCAGAAACCAGGAATTAGCCTCTGTGAAGCAGCTACGGCAAAAAGGCAGCACCCACAGTGAAATAAGCCTGCGCTGGTCTGGTCAAGCCTGGACTAGGGCTTGGTCCCACTCTCCTGGCTCAGTTTCCCCTTTTCCTGCAGCCACGTGACGTGCCTGGTGGTTCTGATGTCGAAGCCAAGACGGCCTTCCTCCTAGTCAGTTGTATGCTTACTGTCCTCTGCGAAGGTCTCACACCCACCAAATGCACCAGCTGATGATGAGCTCTGGGTGCCCGGTGCCCCATTCGCCCGGAGCTGTGGCCACCACCCAGCACTCCTCGGTCAGGGCCCACGTGTGGAGGGAGGCACCGGGGACCCTGGTCAGCCACAGCCTTAGTTTCAAGGGATAACAGGAAAACAGGCCCCTCTAGTTTCTTAGCAAGAGATGAGGGCTGGACTATTCCTTGGCTCTCAGACGACATTCGGTGTTCATCAAAGGTAAAACCACAGGCCATCACTTTTATCCACGAAGAAACTCCCCATAGAGGAACACACCTCATTTTAGTTCCTTAGGCAGAGGCCTTTTTGCTCTCTCCTTCTCTCCTTCCTCCTTCCCATCCTTCTTCTCTTTTACTCCCTCCCTTCCTTTATTTTTTACATTTCCAGCCAGAAGGAATATATGCATATTCAAACAAAAAAATTTACTCTAATGTGGCTTTATTACAAATGTCCACAGACCCCAAACATTGCTCGGTACCTGGAGTTTTCCATTTGAAATATACCATGAAGACCTTTCCATGTGAGAGAGGCTGCAAGGAAACTAAGGCATATGCCTTCCTGGGACGCCTAGCCTCAGTTGCTTATGTATCCAGGGCTGCCTCGTGGCACTTTTTCTTTTCTAAGTTTATTTAGAGAGAGAGTAAGAGAGAAAGCAACTGGGAAAGGGGCAGAAGGGGGTGGGGGGGAGCAGAGAGAGAGAGAGAGAGAGAGAAAGAGAATCCCAAGCAGGCTCCAGACTGTCAGCACAAAGCCTGATGTGGGGCTCGAACCCACAAACCGTGAGATCATGACCTGAGCCAAAATCAAAGAGTCAGACGCTCAACCGACTGAACCACCCAGGCGCCCCTCGTGGCAGGTTTTCTGGCCCCTAGCTGTCACCCAGCACTCTGAACTGCAGGGAGACCCTGGTTTTTGCCTTAGTGTGAGTGAGCGTGTCCGGGTGCTAGAGAGCAGGTGCATGTGCAGTTTCTGATCTGCATATCGTTTGTCACAGCAGAGCCCAGCACCACGCGGGACGGAAACCCTTGGAATTGTGAGCTCCTGGAGGCCATGTCTCAGAACATATGTCAGCTGGGACCCAGTCCCTTGAGGACTGCTATCGTTATGGTAAGGTTAGGGGAAAGAGCATTTCTCCTCCCGAGGGGGCATAACCTGCACTGCCCTGGACTCCTGAAGGGACCCACCCCCTGGGCCGGCCCAGAGAAGTGTACCCCCTGCTTCCCGACTGGTACCCAACCCACCTGCTTCACCTCACAGGTATCAGCTGGCCACTGGGGAAAGCGAAACCCAGGCCAGAACCGACGGAGCTACAGACGGCTGGCCAAGGACAGAAAACCCAGAGTTCTTGACGGAGACTCTCCTACCTTCGGTCATTTCTCCTCCTCCGGAACAACTTCTTCGTGTGGGCGATCTCTACTTCGTGGGGCATCGGGTGGTAGCCCTGCGTCATGTGGGAGGAAGGGGGATCGTTAGTAACTTGGGAAAGACGGCAAAGACCTTCTCGCATGTAACTGTTGATAACGACATCTGTGACGAAGGAAATCGGGAGTGCACGACTAGACTCCGAACACCAAATCCACGCTGAAAAATGGAAAATGGTAGAATGAATCCATTTCCCACCAGGCAATGATGCTGTAATTACAGAACCGAAGATTAGAAGGACACAAAGGAGACCTTAGAATCTGTCATACCCAGTCATTCAAATTCCAGACGAGGACACTGAGATCCAGAGGGGTGAGTGAACCAGTTCAAGGTCTTGTAGAGCATTAGCAACAAAGCGGGGACCAGATCCCGGATTCACGGCTGCATGATGGAGTTATTTTTTGAACACTCGTGACTTCTCTCAGCTTCCCGACACAGTGGGAATGTTAGTAACTTCTCCGGGCCATTGAGAGGACAAGGAGACACAGCCCCTTGCAAACCCTGGGCCTCACAAAGAGGGAGTGGGTTAGGACCCGGGTTGTCTCACACCAGCCCAGGACAGCCCGGGCAATTCTGACCCAAGACCCTCATTCCTCACACTCCTGGGGAGTACTCAGGATGAAATAGTTAAATGCTGTTTTAGACTCTGAACTGGGAAAAATCCTAAGGATGGTCTCTTGTATAGTGTCGTCAGGACAACAGCTATGCATCTACGTCAAGGTTGGAGAAAGACCCTCGACTTATAACATGGGGCTGATCTTGCACATGCCGAGCCCCAGGCAGAATTCTCTGCGGAAGCTGGGCTGAAGGCCAGCCCTAGGCACACACAGGATGAGAGGGAGTGACAGGTCTCGGTGTGTTTAAGAGTGATCAGCCAGGGGTGCCTGGGTGGCTCAGTTGGTTGGTCGTCTGACTTCGACTCGGGTCATGATTTCACAGTTCGTGGGTTCGAGCCTCACGTCGGGCTCTGTGCTGACAGCTCGGAGCCTGGAGCCTGCTTTGGATTCTGTGTCTCCCTCTCTCTCTGCCCCTCCCCTGCTCATGCTCTGTCTCTGTCTCAAAAACAAATAAAAACTTAAAAAAAAAATGTTTTAAAAAGAGTGGTCAGCCAGAGTCCATATAGCCCCCCTCCCCCCCCCCCCTTTATAGACAGGGAGACTGAGGCCCAGAGCCTCTATGGTAGCAGCCCTCTGGTTTCAGGCTCCATAGTGGATGGCCTCACTGGGAGGCCTTCTCAGGGCTTAGTCCCCAACCAGTGCGGGGTGGATGTTGGCAGTTCTGGCCAGTCTCAAGGAGCTTCCCGGGGCCCGGCAGTGGGAAGACAAGAGGGAACAGGCTCGGGAGGACACAGGGACTCTGGCATCACGGATGCCTGGCCTAGCCTCCTATGGAGTCCCGGGAGGGAAGGACACATTTCAACATTTATTGTAATAACAGTCCCTCCCTCCTACCCTGTCTCTTGCCTCCGACAATCCGGCCAAAGAGCATGAATGAATTCCGGGCTCCAGGCGGCCACAATGGGCCTGTGCAGCCTTAGGATGTGCTTTGTTTAATGGTTTTTCTCAAAGGATATTATTTGCTTTTCTTTAATACAAAACACAAACAAGGAAAAACACCAAGTCTTCCCCTCTCATTTCCCCTCTCCCATCCTGACCCAGCTCCGGGCTGGCCCCTTCCCTCCCTCCTGGCCTGGGGTCACTGTAGGAACACACTGGGTGTGCCCCATGTAGACAATGGAAGGAAGCCGAGGCTCCCTCTCAAGCTGGCAGCCTGGATCGGGATCTCAGCTCTGAGGCCGGGCAGACGGAGCTGTCCGCGACCCTGGGCCTTCCATGAGCCCAGAAGGTGCGGCCTCCCCTGTCTGGGCTTCAGAGTCCTGGGCTCTGGCCTGCATCCCGCCCTTCTCCTCCACACACAGTGGGGAGCTGCCTTCGGGACTCACCCTCCGCTGGAGTCCTAGCTCTCTACCAAACTCAGAATGGCCCAGAGGACCTGCAGGGCCCCTCGAGGCTTCTAATGAAGCCCCTGCTGTGACCTCTGTGTCCATCCACCTGTCTCCTCCGAAGTATGTGAATGCGTAGAAAATAGAAGAGTAAAAACATGGGGTTTGGAGCTGCACCGTGAACGTTCAGCTCCTGGCGCTCCCTTTGGATGATTCTGTGACTTTGACAGATAACCTCACCTCCACCTGCCTCACTTGCCACATCCGTAAAATGGAGATAATAATAGCATCGGCCTCCTAGGGTCCCTGCAGGAGTTAAATGGGTTGATAAGCAAGTAAAGAAGGCAGACTAGTGCCTGCTATGCAGTATGCCTCAGTGTCTCCAGTGGTGCCACTGTCACCATCACTTTCATCACCTTCCCATCCTCCGGACACTCTGCTCAGGGCTGAGGGGCCAAAGCAAGCGAGGGTGTTCTGGTCCCTCTCCTCATGGAGCCCCCAGCCCTGGCAGCGAGTCTGGCTGAGGTGGTCTGCAGGAGAGGAGGGTGTGGGAGGCTCAGGTTAGGGAGGTGACCCAGGTGTGGAGCTGGAGAAGGACGGAGAAGAATGGAGAAGGATGGAGAGCTCTCTTTGGCCTGAGGCTGGCAGGCACCAGCAGGAGGCCAGAAATCGGAGAAAAACACGTGATAGAACCAAGTCTTGCACTTCTGAAATCTTCCCTCTCCAGGAACAATCCAGGCTGGGGCTAGGGAGGACTGGTCCCACCCGCAAGACCACCTGGAGCCCCTGGCTATGGGCATGTTGGTGAATCAATGAATGAGAGACACCTTCCCTGGGGCACTTACATAGGACTTTGAGGAGCTCCTGCATAAAGCAGGACATACTGTATTTATACAAGCTTCACTGGAGGACTCTCTTCAATCAGCCACTTTGTTTCTCAGGCTGGTGGTTGGCACCGAGTGACCCACACAACTCAAGATGCTGCCCACACTCCCTCCAAGACAAGGGTGACTGGGGTCAATCGGGGAAAATAGGTGGCCGGCGGAAGGAGAGAGAATCTGTGCTCAGACCCACATCTGCCATCAGGCCAGTGTTGATCCGGGTTAGCCCAGCTTCTCTACTCACCGGCAAGAGGTAAGGCTGGCACGCGAATGTTCATGGCAGCCTTACTCATCAGAGTCACAACTGGAAACAACCCAAATGTCCACTAACCGAGGACTGGATAAGTAAAATGTGGTATGTCCATACAATGGAATATTATACGGCCAGAAAAAGGAAGGAAGTTCTGATACATGTGACAATGTGGATGAACCTTAAAAATATCATGCTGGGAGCACCTGGGTGGCTGGTTGGTTGAGGGCCCAACTCTTGATTTTGACTCCGGTCCTGATTCCAGGGTTGTGAGGTCAAGCTGTGCCTCCGGCTCCATGCTGGGCGTAGAGCCTGCTTAACATTCATACACGTTCTCTCTGCCCCTCCCCGGCTCTCTCTCACTCTCAAAAAACAAAAAAACAACTCCCACCCCCTCCCCCCCCAAAGAAACAACAACAACCCATCATGCTCAGGGAAAGAACCTAGTCACCGAAACCCAGTATTGTATAATTCCATTGTCATGAAATGTCCAGAATAGGCAAATGTGCAGACAGGAAGTAGATGAGTGGTGGCCAGGGGCTGGGGAGAGGAAGGATAAGGAGTCACTGTGAATGAGTACCAGGTTTCTCTTTGGGTGATGGAAATATTCTGGAATTACACAGGAGTGATGGTTGCACGTGTGACCTTGAGGATATACTAAAAAAAAAAAAAAAAAAAAAAAAAAAAAAAAACACCCCAAGAAACCCAACTCACCGTACACTTCAAAAGGGTGAATTTTATGGTATGTAAATCATGCCTCAATTTTAAAAAGTGGGAAGAAAATCCGGGGGCAGTATGTTCTGGGGAGAGGGGACAGCAAGTGTTAATTAAAAAAAAAAAAAGAGCGGTGCCTGGGTGGCTCAGTCGGTTAAGCGTCTGACTTTGGCTCAGGTCATGATCTCGCGGTTTGTGGGTTCGAGCCCCGCGTCAGGCTCTGTGCTAACAGCTCAGAGCCTGGAGCCGGTTTCGGATGCTCTGTCTCCTCCTCTCTCTACCCCTCCCCCGCTCATGCTCTGTCTCTCTCTGTCTCTCAATAATAAATAAATGTTAACAAAAAAATTTTTTAAAAAAGCAAGCAAGAAAGATCCAGCCACAATGGAACGTGCTCCTCTCGCTCCATTACTCTCCAGGAAGCAGTTGCCCTGAAACATTTTATATAAGAGAGGGCTGCAAAGGGCAGCATGTCCTAGGCAAGAGGCACCCAATGACAAGTGTGAATAATAAAGAATCTGGAAAGGAGCATGGGGGATTGGTATCTCCAGGCCTGGCCAGGGGATATGATATTTCGGCTTTGGACCAGAGTTCCCTCCCTGCTTTTCAGAATATATCACTAAAGTGGAGAATGGAAATTGATCAGGCTTCTTAGAATTATCCTTTAACAGCAAACAGTGGTCTCTGCTCTAATTCCTTATTTAACAAATCCTTCCATTCTATGCCTTGAAAGAGCCCCAGGGGCGCCTCTGTGGCTCAGTCGGTTAAGCGTCTGGCTCTTGATTTCGGCTCAGGTCATGATCTCATGGGTTGTGGGATCGAGTCACATATTGGACTCTGAGCTGACAGTGTGGAGCCTGCTTGGGATTCTCTCTCTCTCCCTCTCTCTCTGCCCCTCCCCTACTCACACTCTTTCTCTCTCAAAATAAGTAAATAAACATTAAAAAAAGAAAAAGAAAGAGCCTCATATGAATGTCAGTCCAGGTAGGAGACACTCCCTCCCCAGTCCTCCCACAAGTGAGAGCACGGCCTTCTGGTTTACCAGCTGCTTGGTGTTTCTCATCAGTCTCGAGTCACGTGAGACCCCGTAGCGTTACCCTGGACCACCTCAGGCTCTGCCTGCTCTCCTTCTACTTCTCTGCATGAGAATTCTTCCCCTAGCTCTGAGACCTGGCTGCAGATCCCCTCTCTCTACCCTCTGACCACGTTTGCCAAGTAAATGGGCCTGGGAGACA